AACAAGCAAACAAACAAACGAACGAACGAACACACACACACACAAACAAACAAACAACCCATAAAAAAAACAAGCAAGCAAACAAACAAGCAAGCAAACAAACAAACACACAAAAACAAACACAGAGACACAGAGCTGGGGTAAGCGCAAGCCCTGATCACGCACCTAACCGCCAAATGCATAGCATAAGGCCTCTTGACACCAAAGCCCCTCAAAGCTTTACCAAAAACCTCAAACATCCTCAAACCCTAAATCTAAAACCCTGAACGTTAGAAACTAAAGTCCTCAAGGGCCAAAACCCGAAAGACCGGACTCAAAAGCTTTACATAAATCCGTATTAGGCAACACATGTACAGCCCTTACAGAAGCTTCCCATACGGAACCCTTCTAGTAGCTCTCTCGCCAAGCCCTTTTGGAAGCCCTTGGAAGTTTCAGAACCTCGGGCCGAGCCTTCAGTTGGTCTTGCCTTGAGCCAGAACGGCGGATGTGGTAAACCTCGCCATTGACACCTCGAGGTTGAAGGGATCCGGTTGTTTAGGCCTTAAAGGGGTTTGGGGAAATTTTTAGTCGCGTTCGCAGGTTCGAAGTCGCGGTTCTGATGCTTTTTGGGGATGACTGGACATGTTGCTGTCCGTGTTACCTTGCTCGTAGCTTGGACGGCCCAAAACTGTCGGCTAAGGGCTCTGGAGCTTTGGGGCCAGGCCCTAGGAGACTATGGTTCTCTGGGAGTAGCGTCTGGGTTTTTGCACCTCAGCTCATGCTACCCACTGGTACATGTCGTTGCCATTAGTAAGAAGAAAGAACCATCATCACTGATCGTGGCTACTACATGCTACCCGTAAAAATCTTCTTTCTCCCATGATTTCTCGTAGAGCGGTAAAGCAAGTCGCAGTAGTACTAACGGCAGGTACACCATTCCTCAGCCTCATTTTGCAGGACTAACTTCTCTTCCGTTTGCAGAGAGGAAGCTGAGGCTTTGGAGGCTCTAGAGCTTCGTGTTGCCTTAGGCGTTGCGCTGTCGTGGCCAATCATATGTAGGTCGAGGGTTTGAGGGTTTCGGTCGGGAGATCCTATACGGCTTTAGTTGAGTGCTGAGGCGTGGGGTTCAGGAGCTACGGGTTTAAGGATGCGAGCTGGGAGGCGCGGGTGTTGACTCGAATCCGGCGCTGATTGTTTAGGGCAGGGCTTCGGGTCTCACGGGTGGGTGACTTTGTGTCGAAGCAGATCGAGATTTCCGAAAACCGAGCACGGGCCATGCCACCAGTTATATGAACTCTCGCTCTCCGTGTCTCTTGCTGGTTCCCCCTCTCTCGTCCACACCTGCAACTTAACCCCCCCCCCCCTCCGAAAAGCTCGAGTGAAGTCTTCTGGCACCCCTTTGAGTCCTTGGGGCCACCTTTGGGGGTTGATGTATCGGGAGTTGTACTCTCGCAATTCGGGTCAAGCAATCTAGCGGTCTTGCATTCAATGATGTAGTATGAACATCGTGTGCGAGTATGCGCAAGCTCCTTATGCCATGAACGTGCCAGCTTCGAGCATGGGTTTAATTTGGCGGTTTTGTCCCTCTCGCATTAGGCTGTGAGCCTTAGCTTTCCAGGGCATACTGCTGCAGGATTAGGATTGGGGGTTGAAGGCTTCATCAGCATTCGATGCGCACCCTCATTTTGAAACACTGCCTTTGCCTCGCAAAAGCAAGAGCTGCCTTCAACTACTTAAGGACTTAAGGAAGCATTGCACAGCCAGCCCCCCTACTTTAAGAAGGCTGTGCGTCGTCGCTTCGTGGCTTCTCCGACTCTACTTAGTCTACTTCTGCTTTGGGCACCACAGCTTGAAAATAGGCCCGATATGAGCCAGGTTGCTGTCGAAGTGAGGTATGGTAATTACCCCATACCCCATCCTCCGAAAACCGAAAAGCAGATCTGAAGAGTAGGGACTGCGGCTGCAAGTTCCAAGTGCAGCTGCAGAATCTACTGAATTTACGCCTCTGACGGTGTGCGTTCTGCAGCTCTGTCTAGATTAGAGTCTAGATGTGACTTCGCCCTGGCACTCGCTCAATGAACCTTGAACACTCAAAACTCTTGGGATGTAAGATTAAGACGAAGATGACGATGGCGACGCTGCTGCTGCTGCTACCGATGATGATGATGATGATGATGATAATCAGGTGGTGACGACGACCAGCGCGGCTTGGGTGATGATGCTGCTGAGGACGAAGGCCGGTTTGACACCGATGAGAGACATGACGTTGCAGGTGACGATGAACAATGCCTCCAGAGATGTTTGCGATATCGACGGTCGTACCGCCGAGGATAGTAGTGAACTGGTAGTGGTTGCGAGCTCTCTGTACGACGGCTTGTATGTACCTGTACGATGACTTTTGTGGCAAGGATGCTCAAAATCATGTGAAAATGTCAACAGTTAAGATGTAGATGATGCTGATGGAGATGCCGACAATTATGACTGTGAGAGTGGTGACGATATGTAGCTCCTGGCCCCCAATGCCCGGGCAAACGACTTCTTCAAGCCCAGGCCAGTATAGGGGCAATAGGCTTTGATTCAAGGTCCCTTTGTTGGAAGTGGGGGCAGAATTCATAGAGGAGTGCTGCCGAGCGCTCCCTTGGAGCCATCAACGAGATGGTAGTCTCGATCTGATACTATGACTAGAACTGCCACCCTCGGTCTAAGGGATGTGTTTGCGTCACTACACCGTCGTGGCGGCACCGCGCACAAAATCTGGAAGCCGGACGCTGGACAGAAAATCGTCAGGGACCATTCAGGTGAGGAGGCCAGGTCCTGTCAACACTGGTACCCAGAGACTCCAATACCCCTTAATGAAGGAATACACCTTAAGTCTTATTAGGGATCCTACTATAATTTAAAGTATATTCCTTAATTAAGGGGTATTGGAGTCTCTGGGTAAGGTTTACGCTCTCACAACTCGGACTTGCCAGGCGAGGATCCATAGGCGCGGGTCGGGTGATACTAGCTTTGAAGATCCGTAACCGTGGTAAGGTTTAGGGTTTAGGAGCTTGGGTCGGGCTCTTAACTTTGGTTTCAGAGCTTGGGGTCTGGATTTTTCTGTCGTAGTCTTGTTCTCAGTTATTCTCAGTTATAAGACATAGGCATGCAGAAAACTGTAGGAGCATCGAGGTTCGTCACTAGACTTTTCATGTCTTTTCTAGACCTCATTGTCATACCACAGTACTCACTGGTTCTGCCCCAGACTCCCTGCAGAGTTGACTATCTTTAAGCTTGGACCGGGTGACCCGCGGGTTTGGTGCGCTGTGGTTTGTGCTGTTGGGACGGACGGTTTTCGAAAATGCGTGGTAGTGTCGGATGAGGAAACGGCAGAAAGGAACTCACTCACAAGACAGCACAACCGAGTGGCAGTCAAAGAGAGTTTCCTTGTATGAAGTCTTGTGAGGTTCTCATGCAGTTTCTCGGAAGTGGCACACAGCATGATTTTCTTGTTGTGGCATTGGCTTCGTCTAAGATGCAATGGTGTCAACGATACCAACACTTGCTACCACTGATGGCTCTGTATGACCATAAGCACTGTTGATAGCAACTACAACCATGCTTCGAACTCTAGACTTCATGCCAGCATCATTCAACCAACAGGTAGTCAAGACAGGCGCAACATGTACAGTATAATGCCTGTGCTACCAACTGTCAAACTCCTGCAACCAACAACGGCTGAACTCAGCGCAGCAACAGTAAGAGTCAAAGTTAAAGGAGGAGCAGTTCTTTCAAAGCAAACTTCCTGCGCACTGCGATACGACAGTTGTTAAAACCCATCCAAGTCAAATGGCACAAACACACCCTCACAGTTGGTTCAACGTTTATCGGATTCGTCGCTCAATTCGGAAGGCCCGGGGGCGCCCCTACACTACGATCAGAAACTTGCGGAGGATCGCTGTACTTGATGCAGAAGTGTTAGTTGACACATACCGAGTAAGTTTAAAGCAGCAGGTGAACCTCGACCATCGGACAGACAACATGACCAGGAGATCAGATGAGGTTTTCACAACATTCAGCGGAATCGACATCCTCGCGATTTGGGGTATGTTCTGGTTGCTTCATGAATCTACATCTCGACCAAACAAGTCACACCATGCAAGGTGAGACGGCCACTCCGAGGTCTACGCTCCCCATACATGTGTACTCATGATGCCCGTGCGCATGTCTGCTGTATGTAAACATTGTTAGGGCATACTCGCATACGGAAAATGTAAAATGCATCTGTATACATCAACAAATAGTTGTATATATAGATATACATGTGAACACATCAGGCGTCTGTATATATATATATATGCACATATACACATGTAAGTACATACACATACACTTAAGCATGAAAAAATATACATGTGCATATACACATGCATATACATATATATATATATACATATATTAATATTAATATATATATATATATATACCTGCTACCTGCCTCGCCGCTTTATAAATAGCCGCTTAGGGATAACCGGGTTTTGCAGGGTCGTTGGATAAGGGCTTAAGATTTACGGTCGCAGCTGTTCTGGGGGTCTTCGAGTAAGAGATGAGGTTTTGATTCGGGTGGGGTAAATCAAGCTCGGGCGAGAAGATCTAAGCTTCAGAAGAGGCTTGGGCTCTGGGTTTAGTTACGAAAAGGCTTAGGATTAAGGATTTGGAGGTTTATGGGTTGGTTTGGCTGTTCCATGGCCTCCGAAGAGGCTCGAAGCAAAGCCCATCCCATCCCAGAGAAGCAAACACCTCGACGCCCTGGACCACTCAAGTTTGAAACCACCCCTGACACCCTGAAGTCCAAGGCCCCAGGAAAGCAAAACAAACCTCGAACTTCCGAATGAACTTCCCAGAGAATCCCAGAAGCTCCCAAGCTGAAACCACAATTTGTGCTCGATCACGATCGACGTCTGCTGCCCATGGAGGCCAGGCGGGACCAGGCTTGTGAAGTTTAGGGCCACTACTAGGGTTTAGGATTAGAACTATATCTCCTAGTCCCCCTGTGCCGCACGGAGCTGCACTCTTGTGGCATTCAGATAACGTCCTATCGTTCGCTGGCTCAAGAGCCTTGGGCTAATGCGCCTGCTCAGGCGGCTAACCCGGCCAACAAAATCTTCATCGGAGAAGTTCGCATCCCACAACGGGCTCGGCAGGTAGTGCAAAGCTGGAGTTCTGGATAAATCATGCTGTAGCTGAAGGCAAATATGATGCCAATAGTGAAGCTTGGGAGTCAAGTTGTATCTGCATTTCTTGCGCTCGTAGCAAATATCGACACATCTGCTGTAGCAACGCAAAAAGTGGATCCCAGCCTCGAAGGTGACTGCCGCCTCGTCTCTTGTAAGCCAAAGATCAGCACCGAGCACAGTGCGCATGAAAACGCCCATCGCATGCGCTCCCCCAGCAATGACCCTCAAAAGGGGGTCCTGGTCACGCTTCGCTGCGTGTTGCTCCAGCATCCAAACGATGAACTCGAAGATTACCGGGGTGTCCGAAGCCTTGGACCAGTGCCCACTCGGGTACGCATGTTCATTGGGATAGCCGAGCATATCCCGCGAAAGCCCTCGAAAATGAATTTGGCGCTTGCTGTGTCGCAAAAACCGCTTGAGCTCGCGCGATAGCCAGTCCAATGACTCAGGGGTAGAAGATGCATCCTCGCACAGCTCTAGCATCACCACGCAGGAAGACCCCGTGAAATCTCGACCGACGCCCAGATGCATAATGTGCATCAAGTCTAAGCGCAAGATTGCTGCGGGGTTTGTCCTCACCCATGGCATATACTCCACAAATGGTGGCAATGAGCTCCACGGGTAAGGATTGCACGGTCCCATGGTCTCCAGAAATTTCGGTGATTGCGAAAAATCTTCGAAAGGAAAGCTATCGGTGCCAGCGAGACATAAGTGGCAGCAGCCGACGAGCGGCTTGCTGCTTGCCTTTTTCGGCGCCTTCCGAATATTCAAGAAGGTCCTCTCAAGATGCGCGGCTTTTTGGAGAAACGGAAGGTCGCCTTTGACACCGATCACTAAAAAATGAAGATGTTTGCCACCAAGCATAAGGCCGCCAAAATACAAGGTCGCCAGGTTTTGCATGAGCACGTCGAAGAAGCTTGTGAAGCATGCTGCGTTGTCCTTGTAGGCTGCTTTGTGTAGCACCCCATATAGAAACCGTGTCGTGAACGTGTGCTGTCGAAGGTTCACACCAGGCCTATCTGGCTTCGGTAAAGGGTGCGATGCTCGTGTTCCAAACCCGAGCACCGGCTGAAATTGCACCACCATTAATTCGTCTTTCTTAAACGTGCGCCCGCCGTCGCCGTGAACCATAAGCGGAACCAAGGTTGAAGTGTCGAAGTGAGAATGCGACCACATCTCGTGATCAGGCATCCATGCCCTGTAGCGGCTCCAGAATTCTTGAAGTCTCGGCCCACCTGAGCGATCCATGCCGGCAGAACCCCACCCGACCCCGGGACGAGTCTAAGGTCCCACTTAGGGTTGGAAGGGTTTGGATCCAGATAATAGGGTTTCAATTAGGGTTGTAGTGATCGTGGGGTTCCAGGTCTTTTGATTTCAGAAGATTACACAGTCGGCCAAGATTACCGGGTTAAAGTCGATTAAAGGCTGGAGCTTGCAACGTTGGCTTTGTATGGCTAGCCAAGGATTCGGATTGGACCTTTCTATGCATCCATGGTTTTCTAGTAGGTCGGGGTGTTTATTTTGTTTCGGGTGTGTGACATATTTAGTCTAACTTGAAGCTCTGGAATAGGATAACAAAAGAAGACAGGAGTCCATTGCAGACAAAGGCTCTGCTCTCAAGAGAGCCTCCAACAAGACGGTTCAGATACCCCTTGTCAGATAAGGTTCTGATGAAGTCTTCCGGCAGCAGAACTGGTATCGTGACATTTGTTGCAAAGGTCTTCTGTGTAGTGGGCACATTCAAGGTCAAATCAAACTTCTTCACTACAGATTGTAGTGCCTTCTCAGCATCATTCCTTGGACACCGAGCCATCTCATCCAGTGCCCGACACTCGCCATCTCCTGCGAAGGCCTTCGCAATGGTCACGACGTGCTTCGCCGTGGCCTTGGCACACCACAGGTTGGGAAAGAATTAAGTTTGAAAGACGAGGTGTTAGTGCAATGCAGTGCAGGAAGCCGCGTTCTTGTTTTGCCACCAGCAAGTCGAGCCGTGGTACCCCGCTGAGTCTCATTAAACTCCCAGAATCCTCACTTTCTGCAAAGGTCAGATAACCCATCGTGGACGATCGGCTCTAGCTATAACACAATAGCAAAAGTAGGGAGGATCGAACTTGGGATTAAAATTTTTATCTCTCATTCCCTCACCGCCCCTGGCCACATTTCGGCACTGCTTTGTATCACGGTGGTGAGCAATGAGGGCGCTCTCTAGCATTTCCACAAGCGCTAAGTTGTCACTCTTGAACATGATTGTCATCCGGTCCCACCCCCTTTGTCTGTACAACTCGAACCGTGACGAGCACTCATGTGTAATACCGATCTTGTAGATCACCAACTCCAGTCCCCCAGCTTCCACACGTAGGCGACGAATCACCGATTGGCAATGTTCGAGAACTTTACCGGCCAGTAACGGACGATTCGGCAGCATCCATGAAACACAGACAGCCTCACACTCCAGCTGTGGTGACTCCAACGAACCGCAAGAACTGGTAGATGCTTGGAAGTCGAGGTCCTGAGCTGGACTCCTGCTGCGACTGCGCTGTCGCTCGTCCTCTTCATCATTACCCCATGGAAAGAGGAGAGGATGTTGGGCCATGAACTCCAGATATCGGTTGTTCGATTGGCGAACCATTGCTTCGGGAACATAGGAAGTTCTACTATCTTGCCGGTTTTCCGAAATTAGGGACGGGCATTGGGCTTGGGTTCAGGGTCGCCATAAACCCCCTAGATCTACAAGGTTTATTGAATATCAAACGGATATATCTATATAGTACAGCAACCAAAGGCCAGACAGCTGCATCTGGCATGCAAGCGTCGTTGCGCGCACAGATATAGACACACAACACCCCCCGACACCCAGACACACACCACTTGAGACCCGCACTGTAACATGACAATCCCCCTGACTGTAGTAGCAACTTTGCCTCTAGAAGTTTGCACCACACCCCGGCTATTTAGGCTGTAATATGCTAAGCTGCGAACAGTTTAGAGAGAAGCCCGGATCAAATTCAAGGCCCGAGCTCCAGTGCCCAAAGTCGCAGCAAGGATTCGAGCTTGATCACTCGGAGCATCGTCTCTCCCTGGCCACAGATTTGCCGACACCCTAATACAACAATGCCTGACCTCAACTCTCGAAGCAGCACAGGACTTTTGTTGCACGCCGACAAAGTAGTCCCAGCGTAAGGCTACACTATGGATTGAAGGGCAGTGAGTTGTGACTTCATGCAGCATGAGCCGAAGCAACTTACATTACAGTAATCTTTTAAGCAGTGTTTGTCCACTGAATCCATGCCACAACAACTCCTGCTGCCCTTATGGTAGCTCCAGAAAAGCTTCTCTGGGTTAAGGGATTTTGGTTGCAGAGAGAATCGATTGCATGGCCTGTACCACGACTAGTAACTAGTATTGGGACCCATCTGAAGCCTGAAGCTTTTCATGAAATCTCATATCCGAGATAAACACCGAGGCCTAGGAGCTCTTCTTGCGCTTGCGACGATTTACCCAGAGTGCGCTCTGTTGGAA